CTTGGTAATCCAGTAACAATGCGAGCAGCCTCGATTTGAATATTTTCTATCCGATCAGAATTTATGTTCCCACAATTATCCCAAACTTCTGATGAATAATCAAGTATCGGACGAATAAAAATCATATAATTTTTTTCCAAATATTCCCTTGTTAATCGATATTTTAGTTTGCGTAAAACATTAAGCTGCTTCGAAGTTTTCTCAATCAGTTTATCAACATGCTTATTCCATTTACAATCATTACTAAATATGACACCTAGATGTTTGTGCGCACTAACTGGTTTCAATGTAGCACCACCAAAATCAAAAGTAATATCACTGTATTTATTTTTCAAACTGAATATCATAATATCAGTTTTATTAGGATTAAACTTCACTAGCCATTTTTCTGAGCACTTACTTAAATAATCAAGATCTCTACTGATCGAATTTTTTAAAGTGGATTCATCAGGTGCAGTATGACCTATTGAAGTATCATCTGCAAAAAGCCTTCCGAATCCAGACATACCATCAGCTATATCATTAATGTATATTAAAAACAACAAGGGTCCTAATACCGACCCCTGTGGCACACCAGCGTTAAGTTTTCCAATGTTTGATAATGAATCTTTTATGACAACTCTCTGAGATCGTCTAGACAAGTAACTTTTCAACCAACTTAGCAAGTCTCCTTTTATACCATATTTTTCAAGTTTATGTAATAAAGCCTTAATCCAAACAGTATCAAATGCTTTGCTTATATCAGCAAATGTAATGCTTGTTAAAAGCTTTTCATTTAGTGCACTCAAAATTTTGTTATACAATTCTATCAACTGATGCGAAGTTGAGTATCCTGGAATAAATCCGGATTGATACTTGTATAATAGTTTATTTTCATGTAAATGGTTAAATATATTTTTGAAAACAATCTTTTCTAAGACTTTACTCACACATGACAATAATGAGACTGGCCTGTAGTTAGACGGTAATGACTTGTCACCACTTTTGAATAAGGGAATAACATGTGCAATCTTCCATTGGTCTGGAAATATTTTATCATTTAAAGATTTGTTAAAAAGTAGACATAATGGTTTGGAAATTTCATTTCTAACAGCAAGTAACATTCTGTTGCTAACGATATCTGGTCCAACAGCTTTATTAACATCGAGCGTTGAAAGAATATCAAGTACATCTTGTTCACTAACTACAATTTGTGAAATAAAATCAAGACATCGGTCTTCAAATTCCGGCAAATCTTTACTAGCGCCATCTAAATTAGAAATTGAACAAAAATATTTATTTAAAATGTCGGACTTTTCGGTTTCCTAATACGCAAGTTTAAAGTTATGATCAGGGTCCGTCATGGGTGGTAAATCATGAGACGGTGTATCACTTTTAATTAACATGTTAACCGTTTTCCAGTACTGTTTACAGTTTGTAACTTTTAGTTCATCTAAATTTTCATTAATATTGGTAAAAAAATGTTTTTTAGCTTGCTTTTTCAAGTTATTTACTTTGTTCCTTTGTTGTTTAAATTTCTTTTCTGCGGATGTACTATTTGAGCGAATAAAACTATTACGGAGCCTGTCGCGTTTTCTCGTTTCACGCCGCAAATTCGAATCATACCAAACTTTATCGTCACATCTTATAGTTACTTCCCTTGTAGGTATACACTCGGAGGCTATATTAAGAAATGAATTCGTGAAATTAGTCGCAGCAACATGAACGTCACTTGCATCAGAAATTAAATATTCCCAATTTGTTTCAACTACTTTTTGTTTCATAAGGTCATAATCACCTTTTTTATAATCCCATATCAATCTATTATAAGTTCGTCTTTTACTAAAACCACAATCAATTGTGACGTATGTTCCATCATGATCACTAATACCTCTATCAAAAGGTATTGTGTCTTTATCTATAACCGGTATCGAATCAGTGACTAAAATAGGATCAAGTAAAGACGTGCTACCTGTTCGTGTGTCAAAATAAGTAGCTTTGTCAATTATGTTAACAAGGCCATTGATGAAAGAAATATCTCTTATATTTGACGGTAGATCTGACATAAAGTTTTTATTCAGGTCACCTAAGCAAATTATGCAATTATTTTCATCCAGGGCATTTTTCAACATTTGATCAAAATACTGCCAGAAATAAAGTGAAGATAGCCGTTCCGAGCTATAATTGATGTTTATCAATATTGATCGCAATTTAGTTTTTAACTCAAACCACATACTCTCAAGTTGGCAATTCTCCAAATCATGTCGACGAGTTATGCGAACATAACTTTTATAATACATAATATTGCCACCCCAATGAGAATTTTCATCTTTTCGAACTGGTATTTCAAAACCGGATATATATAAATCAGAATCTGTAATATTTGAGTCTAAATGGGTTTCTGTCAAGAATACGACATCGTAATCTTCAATAATATCGACAATATAATTCAGTTTATTTCTAAGGCTTCTTATATTACCATGGAAAATTGACAATGTTTTTCTCAGATATTTCTGGTGTGCGCTCAGGACCCGGGTTCGGTTCGATGTCACCACATATTAGCAACAAACATAATAACAGTATGTAAAATGAAATCATATTAGCAGAAGATCTGTATAAATTAAAAATACATAGTTTGAGTCTTAAAACATTCGTAAATAAAACGGCAAGTAATTCATACACTGAGAACTATACAAATGTTTTTCTCAAACACACCAGACTTATCTTGTGATAAAACAGTCCTATTGTCATTCTATATGCTACGATGTCATTACCCATTGTCAAATACAAGACAATACATATAAATGACAATCAGAAAATAGGACTGCTTTGTAAAACATGATGCAAGATATAAACACATATAATTCGAATGATCATTCATGAAATTCAGGCAAATAAAAAATAAGGGAAAACAAAAATCTATGTACAAAAGGCAAAATTGGAACATCATAAGAATGTTCGATGCAGTTGTAGTGAAATCAGAGAGATTAATTAAGTTAAGATGAATTTAGTTTCGATGTCATTTTAGGGGGGAAACAAATAAATCAAATAAATCAGAAAATAAAATGTGAATTTTTTTAAAAACGGAAGCTCTTTTGTGAAATGTTATAAATAGGTAAATAGAGTAATCTATCTTTTCATTTAATCAATACAGGTAAGCTATAAACACGTTTGAAGAACGATCATTGATAAAGTTACAGGAACGAAACAAGTTCACGTGTATGTAAGTGATTTTAAATCACTAAGGTGTAAAGAGTTGAGTTATAATTTCATGTCACATGTTTTAAATAGCAAATAAATGAAATATAAATAAACAAACACAGGCACGTGCTGCTTAACACGTGTATCGAAAAAAGAAATATTCAGTACAGCAATACATAGAAAACGAGTATATATATACAAGTGTATATAATTAAATTGATAAAAACAATTTAAGAATTGTGTTATTTAAACAAATGCAAGTCAAAAGATATAAGACTATGATGTAAACGGAATGTCTAATCCTCTTTCTGGTCATCACCTTCAAGGACTTCCCCACCAAGCTTATATATGTCCTGCCTTGAAATTACCACTTTCGGACGAGAATTCTCAGATTGTTTAATCAATATTGACCCGTCATGTGTCCAAAACGAATTTATTTGACCTTTCTCACGCAATGTGTTTAGTCTGTGCAAAAGATTGCATCTGTGTTTTGTAAGGTTTTCAGCAATGAAAGTTTTGTTTATGTTTCCTTTCAATTTGCGTTTATTGCTGAAAACTAACTGCCTTTGACGATACGACAGGAATCGTACAATGATGGAAATTTTCCCGTCTTTAATCTCACCTATGGGATAGGATCTGCCAATATCTCTCGTGTCTAACTTCAATTTCAAATGCTTATGGCAAATACCAAGGATAAGGGAATCTGTGTCTATAGGCTTGATAATATCGCCTTTGTCGTCAGTTGGTGCAGGAACATTATGGAATCGTAAACTGGTTCTTCGAGAATACTGTTCCTGTTCCTCGACTCTGGCTTCGATCTTGTCTAATTTGCGGTTTAAAGAATTTATTTGCTCTTTTTGATTGTTAAGTTCAATATCTTTCAAAATAAGTGCTTCTTTATTGTGTTTAATGGTAAGTAAGTGAGGCTGAATACATTCGTCAACGATCAGTGCAATTTTAGGTTTGACCATTTCAATTACTTTTTCAGTGATGAGAGGAATGATGGAGTTCAAAAACTCTCGATAATTTTCTCTGTGCTCCTTCATTAACAACCGTTACTAAATCAGGGTTACCAAGTCAGGAAAATGGCAGTTGTTATCTTATAGTTTCTGTGTGTGTTGCATTGTCGTTTGTTTTTGTTGCACTTCAGTGTTTCTGTTGTTTCGTTTAGTTCCAGCTTATAGTTGATGTGTTTCCCTCGGTTTTAGTTTGTAACCCGGATTTGTTTTTTTTTTTCTCAATCGATTTTGACTTTCGAACAGCGGTATACTACTGTTGCCTTTATTTATAGCTCTCAAAACTAAGTAAATAGTTGGCACAATCAAATGGTTTACCACACCAATTCTGAGTAAAACAGTCTACAGCTTCTGTATTTACATTCCGGAATAATGAGTAAAATCTTTGTAATTTCGTGTAACGATAACTAGCAAAACGATCCACTATTTACAAATACAGGTTGTAATGTTAACATACCAATGTACATAACTTAAATCAGTATATTTCCTTTTCGACGGATATATTTTTTTTCATTGGACTGTTAACTCGTAATCTAGCATGCTCAACACTTTTTGTTCAAACGCAATGTAATGTTTACAGCTGAACATATTGCATCCAACATAAATCTTTTTTTTTTCTATTGAACACTGGATTATTTATGAGTACGCATGTTTTCTGATTATTCCTTGCATTAAATTTTTTTCATACATAACATACGGCATTGTACGTGTTCAATAAGAATTGTAAAACATTGAAATAAAAATAAAAATTAATAATTTTATTGGAAAATATACACACAGAATTTGAAAAATATGTCATTTCAGAAATAGAAACTGATGCCGTTGAGGAATTAGCTATTCTAGAAGGATCTGCGGTTAGCAAATATCACACAAGCAACAAGGAGACGGAACCAAGCGGGTATACATATATTTTTTGTTTCTTTTACCGTTTTCCATTTTTTATTTCAACTTTTGTTAATTTTCAATTGCAAGTGTATTGCTTAAATATAATATTATGTTTTTATCAATTACTTAAGGCATATTTTGAAGAAAAAACATGCTTATTCAATTAACTGTCAAATAATTGGCGTTTGTCAGACAAGATCAAGTTTGTTAGAGAAAAGTTTACATTTATGGAACCTTTACGTAGCCATTTTTTAATGTTTACGACAACGTTTGGAGAACACTTACACTAATATGCTAACAGTTTGGCTATGACTACTGCTTTCAGGTTAAACACCAGTAGTGAACAAGAAACAGATCTATCTTTCCAACATCAATTGAACTCAGTGTTATCTAAAGTAGATTCATTAGAGAAGTGGGTTGTCAGGGATAAACGAAAGCGACAAATCAGACCAGTAGCACTAAATATAAAGCAACATGTACCCGCCCAAACAAACATCGTTGAAAATGAATAAAAGCAGATCGAAACATCTACCAGCAGTGGTACTGTTAGACAAACATGGTTTATTCACGTCAAAATCAATCTTGTTTTTGTTTTATTATTGCTATCATTTGAGTTTAGAATGCTTTTCACATTTGGCGTTAAGCGACAACGTAGATAATTTTAGATTTTACCTTCAGATTGTTTTTTTTATTTCTTATTACTTATGCTTGAACAAATTTGTCATAGCGTGTGTTATTCATATTTATTTCCGTATAAAATTAAGCTTGACAGATATCTGATTTGATTTTTGTGTATATGTCTAGATTGACAGACATTAGCTTGGCTTTATTTGAATATGTTTGTACTTGTCATTTTACTAAAACTGAAGAAGTATATTTGCATTCGAAATATTTATTGTTTATTGTCTTTTTCATTAGTTTAGTTGCAGTTAACGCTTTTTCGACGTAAACTGTATTTTTATGTGTGAACTGGATCGTTTTCATAATGACCTTGTAAGAATGGTCGCTGGCATTAATTTCTAGATCTATACCGTCACTATGAGCACCAATAAGATAATTGAAAAATGCTGGTCCCGAAAAAGATTACTTCAATCGATCATTAAACAGATTTAAGGGTCCTGGATTGATTACAGATGTAAACCATAAATGTCTGTAAGTTGTCGAATTGAATCAGACATTCCGTTTTATTTCAAAAGGTCATCAAAACATGTGCCCCAAAAAAGATATTGAATTTATGAATAAATAATCAAGTTTTCCTATCATATCCTCCTAATTTTTGGTGTCTTGAGTTTATCCTCTTCAGTTTAAGTTGATATTAACTTTTAATGATATTTTATCACCTTCGAGGTTCCTATGCACCTAGTTCAAAAGTTATTTATATCTAGACATGCGTCAATATGGTACCATAGAGATGGTCAGTAATATTCGTCAATTCTATCCCGTCTTACGCTGATGCTGAAATTTGATTAGGTCGACCAAGAAAATGTGAAAGTTTTTAAAAAAATCTATTAATTACATGTATGGTTTCTTCATTATTACCACTGGACGTTAAGCAAACAACAATCAATCATCTTCATTAGCACTTATATTTGCATTTTTACCATTTAAGTATCCATCTTTGTAAGAATCATGCAGAGGGTGATTCATGACATGTCACAGAAGTAATTTATGTTGCCCCATATCATAAGAACTTCGGTAGATAATTAAAAGTATGTCTTTATTTTCCCTGTAAAATGCGCGTTGCCATGGTAACCATCAAAACAACAGTCTGCCTGAATAGGTGAAAAAAGACGATTTTGAAAATTGAAAATAAGGGAATTTAAAGTGCTATAGAAATTAAGTTAATAAATAAAAACAATAAGGGTTTTACATTGTTAACAAACAAAACCCCAAACTTTTCAAAAACGTTAAGATTTTGAACTTATTAAATAGTCTGTTTCCAAAGCAACCATTTAAAAATAAGTTAAAATTCAAAAATGAAAAATTTCAAAAATTCCTAAATTTCAAATCTGTTTACTCCCAAGACCAACAATACCATGACATGTCATTGATAAATTTTGAAAGACAACATTCTGTATACTCAAAATATAAAAAGAAAGGCGTGCGTTTTTTTTTCTTTAATAAAATTATTTTAGTAAAAAATTGTCTATTTTTTACAAAAATCCAGATTGCCATACAGATGATTTTGAACTTAATAAGCAAAAATTTTCCATTTAAATGTGCAATTCTGACACACATTTGTTAATTTTAAACGGGAATATATGATTAAGAAGACATACTTGTACAAAACATAAACTAATCACTCTGGGACTAATGCTGTCAGTGAAAAAGAATAATGTTGAACTCCAAAAAACATTTAAGTCTATATATAAAAATAACAGGATGTGTTATAATTGCCAATAAGACAACTCTCCGTCAGAGACCAAATGACATAGAAATTAACAACCACAGGTCACCGTACAGCCTTCAACAATGAGCATAACATGTTTATCAGTAAAACAAATCATAATGAACAAATTAAAAAAAATGTTCAGGATACGATCACTTTCAAAATGGCTATGAAGAAGTTACAGTAACAGTTTAATGAAGTATGATCATTGTTGGTTTGAAACTGATAATTGATGCTTTTAAAACTTTAACCCTAGACTATGATTTGCTAAACAAGAATGCACACCCTGAAATGTCTGGTTGGTTTTATTTATCATTGAATTACTGTTGAAACTCTGTTATATAAAGATTATTACAAGTATCATATTAACTCAACATTATCAATCTAAGATTGAATGAACCATGTCAGTCAGACGAAAGAGAGAGAACGGAAACGAAAAATTCAGTAATTTTTCCATTTGTAAAGGGGCATTACTCAAGATCAGTACAAGTGACACCAACAAAATTCAACGCTCTATTAAACTGTACAAGAATTTGTCAATGTTTGTATGGTATATGATAGAAAAGGACATCTTGTCTACCAAACTGAATTTTGTTTGTATAAGGCAGAGATATCGCATCTATATAGTACTCAAAATATATTTTCCTCGTGGGCCTTGAATACAATTTGCTGGTCCTAACTATTATATACTGTTGCAAAATTTGATTCTCAAAACCTTATATTAGGACCACCTTGTGCAAAAATCATTCATGGAATATTGCGAAATTTTATTAATCTTTAAATTTACACAATTTTTCAAGCTCTTTTGCATTAGTTAGATTTATTATATATTAGAATAGAAAGAAAGAACGGTTCTGTAGTTTCTTCTTCAATTTCAATTTGAACACAGTTAAATCGACATAGTGACAAATAAGTGTTTGCATAAAAGTTTCCATACATGTCGATTTACATGGGATGTAAATAGTACCAGCCATTATGTGTACATAATCTGACTCTGCGCAATAGTATATACATATCGAGAATTTTAATAGTTACATGAAAAGGCATTTCATTTTAGAATAGTTGATATAAAATGCAAATATATAAAAGTACATTTGCTATAGTGTAATTTTAAAACAACATTATTTCATGTGTCTGTATTTATGGTATGATATTGTTCTTTGAATAAATCTTCTTATCCAAAGACTCAATGTTTAGATGAATTATACAGTTGGGTGCAGACCACGCATTACATAAAGTAAACGCCCGTTAACGCCGCGTGCACATATTTCGTTAGTTAACTTCAATTTTCGCGTTTACTAGTAAAGAGTAAAATCACAAAAATACTGAACTCCGAGGAAAATTTTCCTCCGAATTTATTTTTTTTGGTGATTTTAATTTAAATAGTCTATGGTTCTTTAGGCATATCCTCTGCAGAATGTTAATTAGAAGTTTACCTTTTCTTCTTGTTGCTTTTCGATAAGCTTATTGTGTATTTCTTCTAAAAAAAAGAGCCACGTCATTATGTATAAAAGAAACACAAAAGGGAATGTAGGCAAAGCATTAGCAAATATTAAAGACCAGAATACAAAAATTATAATAGAACAATAATAAGGACTATAGCAGGATATTATAGATCATGGTTTATTTCAGCTTATATTCCATTAAGTGGGTCTATAGTAGGATAATATAGCTCATGGTTTATTCCCACATATATAACATTCGGTGGGACTATAGCAGGATATTATAGATCATGGTTTATTCCAGCTTATACTCCATTAAGTGGGTTAATAGTAGGATACTATAGATCATGGTTTATTCCCATGTTCAGAACCTTGAGTGGGACTATAGTAAGATACCATATATCATGTGTTTTCCCCTTTTATATTCCATTAAGTGGGACTATAACAGGATATTATAGATCATGGTTCGTTCCTACATATACAACATTCGGTGGATTGTAGTAGAATACTATTATAATAGAGTATATTTCAAACCTACACATATAACGTAAAGAGAAAATAAATGTGTATTAATCTAATCATGGTTTAGTCTCACCCCTATGGGAAAATAATTCAATATGCATAGAAGGTGGGACTAAACTCTGATTATATATAAACTGTTTTTAAAGAATGCATCCTATATATAATTATGGTTAGTCCCACCTTCTATGCTAAATGAAGTATTTTTCAGTATGGGTGGTATTAAACCATGATTATTTATATACAGTTTTGATCAAATGAATCTATATAATTTTTTCCTTTTTTAAATCATTTTCTATTTTATGGTGGACGTTTCGTCCCGAGGGTATCACCAGCCCAGTAGTCAGCACTTCGATGTTGACATAAATATCAATTATATGGTCATTTTTATAAATTTACTGTTTGCAAAAGTATGAATTATTCGAAATGCTAAGGATTTTCTTATCCCAGACATAGATTACCTTAGTCGTATTTGGAACAACTTTTTGGAATTTTTGGTCCTCAATACTCTGCAACTACTTGTTTTTGCCTTCTAACTATTTTGATTTGAGCGTCACTAGTGAGTCTTATGAAGACGACACGCGCGTCTGGCGTATTAAATTATAAGCCTGGTACGTGGGACTAAACCATGATTATGCCAACAATAACACAATAGCGGGATATTTAAGTACAGAGCCACGTCATGTGTATTTAAGAAACACAAAAAGTCACACGGTCAACGCAAATATGAAGGATAATTCAAACAACACAATGACGGGATGCATAAGTACAGAGCCACGTCAAATGAATATCACCAAAAACAGACCAAACAGTAAAAGTAATATTAAAAAGAACACTATAACACGTATTAAGATGATAAACAACGTCAGTACGCAGAATCTATACTTCAAGACCATCGTGTATTATTTGAGAAGTTGATACGGAATATTTATCAACAAAGTCTTGGAACTCTCCGATAAACTTTTTTAGAAAAAGGACGAGACGTTCTTGGACATACCCTTGGTTCATCAACTTTCATAAACGCGCGTTTACTATGATTACGTTAATGCGGTCAAAAGGGAAATTTATAATGCCTACCTGAGTAAACGCGCGTTTACTCTGTGTCCGTTTAGTCAGTAGTAGTTGTGTAGTCACTGTGTTCCAATATTGCTGTCATTTGAATTATTAAATCCATCCCGACATAAAAAAAAATCACTATGCGACTATATAGATTTACACAATAAAGTGAAAATATGTTCATTCTTGGTTGATGAGGACAAATAATTTTGCTGTACGAGTCAGCCTGAGGTATCAATATTTTGAATAAAAAGAGGACATGCTGGCACTCTAAATTGATGCGGATAACTTTTGTAGTCAGTGTGTTTCAATATTGCTATCATTTGTATTATACAATCCATCCTGACATAAAAAAAAAAAAAATACCAATTCACTATGCAACTATAGAGATTTACACAATAAAGTGCAAATATGGTCATTTTTACCATTCAATATTTTGAATAAAAAGAGGACATGATGACACTTTAAATTGATGCGGACAAAATTGTGTTGTTATTGAGTTCCAATATGGCTATTATTTGTATTATACAATCCATCCTGACATAAAAATATTACCATATTACTGATTTACTATGCGACTATAAGGTTTACATAATACAGTGCAAATATGGTCAGTTTTGGTTGATGCGCATCAATAATTTTATTATACTAGTCAGCCTGAGGTATAAAAAATACTGAAATTTGTTAACGATTAAATATTTTGAATAAAAAGAGGACATGCTGGCACTTCAAATTGATGCGGACAAAACTTTGAAATCATTGTTTTCCAAAATTGCTGTCATTTGTATTATACAATCCATCCAGACATAGAAATATTACTGATTTACCATGAGGCTATGTATATTTACAAAAAAAAGTGCAAATATGGTCAATTTTGGTTGATGCGGTCAAATAATTTTATTATACGAGTCATCATGAGGTATTAAAAACACTGAAATTTGTTAACGATTAAATATTTTGAATAAAAAGAGGACATGCTGGCACTGTAAATTGATGCGGACAAAATTGTGTAGTCATTGTGTTCCAATATTGCTATCATTTGTAATATACAATCCATCATGACATAAGAATGTAACTGATTTACTATGCGACTATCAGATTAACATAATAAGTGCAAATATGGTCAGTTTTGGTTGATGCGGACAACTAATTTTGTTATATGAGTCAGCCTGAGGTATTAAAACTACTGCAATTTGTTTACGATTCAATATTTTGAATAAAAAAAGACATGCTGGCACTCTAAATTGATGCAGACAAAATTTTGAAGTCATTGTGTTCCAATATTGCTGTCATTTGTATTATACAATCCATACTGACATAAAAAAAAATAATACTAATTCACTATGCAACTATATATATTTACACAATAAAGTGAAAATATGGTCAGTTTTGGTTGGTGCGGTCAAATATTTTTGTTATACCAGTCATCATGAGGTATTAAAAACACTGAAATTTGTTAACGATTAAATATTTTGAATAAAAAGAGGACATGCTGGCACTGTAAATTGATGCGGACAAAATTGTGTAGTCATTGTGTTCCAATATTGCTATCATTTGTAATATACAATCCATCATGACATAAGAATGTAACTGATTTACTATGCGACTATCAGATTAACATAATAAAGTGCAAATATGGTCAGTTTTGGTTGATGCGGACAACTAATTTTGTTATATGAGTCAGCCTGAGGTATTAAAACTACTGCAATTTGTTTACGAT